CAAATTGATAATCACCTAAATTGGACTAATCAAATTGATAAATTGATACCTAAGTTAAGTGGCACATGTTTCGCAGTTAGATCTCTGTTGCATGTCAGCAACACCGACACACTCAGATCAGTATATTTTGCATATTTTCGCTCTTTAATGAAGTATGGAATAATTTTTGGGGGAAATTCATCAAACAGTAAAATAATATTCACTTTACAAAAGAAAATTATTAGATTATTGGCTGGTGTAAAACCTAGCAATTCATGTAGAAGTCTATTTAAGAGATTAGAGATCTTAGCTATTCCATGTGAATACATATTCTCATTAATGAACTTTATTATAAATAACCAAGAACTCTTTCAAACCAATTCTGCTGTACACAGTGTCAACACAAGGAATAAAAATCAGCTTCATAGACCAATTGCCAACCTCTCATGCTTTCAGAAGAGTGCATATTATGCAGGAGTCAAAATTTTCAACAGTCTACCATCAAATCTCACAAGTCTTGTAAATAAGAAGGAGCAATTTAAGGCAGCATTAAAAAGATACTTAATTACACACTCCTTTTACTCTGTCAATGAATTTATATTATTTACAAATAAATTATAAATTTTTCTTGTGTGTAATGGGTAGATCTATTTGCAGCTTATCATTTCTCTAGGTGAATACTTTGTTTTGTATTATGTGAAATTTATATAATAGTTTGAATTGTACTTTCTGTTATAATATTTATTTATATGAACATTTATTATCTTTGTTTAAACTTCATCTTCTTTGTACTATTACCTTTGTAAAATGTAATATCTTTGGTTCCTAATCATACTCTTTGGAAGTGTAATATCTTTCCCTTTTTAAACTATCTGATAAAGATTGAGATGGAGCAACAAGGGCGTGTATCTTCGTTCCTATACTCTACAACCTCAATGTAAGACTAGTGAAATTAATAACAAAATTAACTATTTTTGAAGTGCTATCACTTCTGAAACACTTCTGAACTCATGGAAATTTTAAAAGAATGAAAGCTTTGAAAAGATGAATGGGTTCTTTCATAAATTCACAGATAGTAAATGTTTATAAACTAAAACATACTTTTAACACACATTTGCAACACTGAAAATAACTTTGGGTACATATAAATTAATTACAGTAAGAAAATAGAATAGTGTGATAATTTATAACAAAAGGTTTAAAGAACAGTTCTGGAGACAAACATTTTCAACTAAAAGTAAGAGTTCAACAAAATACATGCCAATTAATGTACTGGATCTGCAGTTCAGTCATTAAATATTAAAATTCGTGGCTTGATAAGGGTAACAAAATTATCTGAGATCAGATTTATGAATTTAATAATAAAATAAAATTGTCAGAGAATATCTGAATGTGAAGAAAGCTAAATATGGGACGTATTAGCTGTCCCATTTCATAAATGAAACTGAGATGACTGTAACTCACTGGTCCCAGCGTAGAAGACGACATATTCCAGGTCGGTGCCAAACAGGTCAATTTTTAACTTGTCAACTACGAGATGAGTAAACAGGAGATCTCTCTTGTAGAAAACAGGTTTCCCATTTTCATGTGAAACAGCTGCATCCATCAGTGGATGTGATCTTATGAAGTTCAATACAGTATCTGCAAAAACAATATAATCACTACAACAAATTTTCTCAACACAGCAAATATTTTACTAATATTTGTAAAAAAAAACAACCATGCCTCGAAAACATTTCCTAAGTCTCCTCCTTGCAAGACAGAAATTTTACGATTACTGGCCGAGGACCGGTCATCCTGACGTCAGTTATTCGTGGTAGTTTCTACATGCGGAAGCCAAGACAGTTCTTTAAAACAGGACACATCTGTTCTTCAGACATACTTAAAATACATAATCATCTTTCCATATTCACTTTGATACTACATAAACTCAGTCATTCAAAATATCAGCTAAATAATGATGCACACCGGCCCAGAATTTATTCTTCGCTACAGCAGGTCTTTTGCTGCATACAAATTTTCAAAAAGATTTTTTAATCTGATGTCCATTTCCAAATTTAAAAATTTCATAGTATTTTCTGTAACTCTTAATAATTTTCATACTCTGCTTAATATGCAGTTTCCATTCTGTAATATCGTCATGAACCACATGAAACGGCCAACACAATAGTTTACAAAAATTCTACTCTTTGCATTCTCGAATAGGGAATAAGAAAGAAAGGAAGACAAAATGCAAAGACTTGTAAAATATATGAAATTTTAAGGCCTCCAAGGTCATTTTTAACACTTTCCCCTTTTAATGGAATGGGGCTTAAATATTAAAATTATAGATTTAATGGCGCCATAGCATCCAGTTCCATTTCCCCCACCTGGCAATGTCTCCGTATCATTAACACAGTCACCAGGACGTGGCTCGGGAACCCGGTTGCTCAGTACCGGAAGCCAAGCCGAGCTACTCGTCGCTTGTTCCTTAAACTTCCCTCTGAAAGCTTCTTGAATATCTTCGATGGCAAAGGAGCATATAGCTGATCCCATCAACCCATTCATCGACGTCGTGAATACACCATAAAACTTTGTGTCGTCACCAGGAACCTTGTAAATACTCTCTGCAAGAAGAAGACACAGAAATTAGTGTACGGTAAGGAAGAAGCTTTCTAAATGTCGCTCTCAATGAGGATAATGGAAAAAGAAGAATGGGAGGTTGGCGGAGAAGGCAGTCACACAGTGATGCTCAATGCACGACAAACCTCTCACCTGCAGATTTAAAAATTTCTGAGATTTTAGATTTCATTCAGTTTTTAACGATATCGACCACAACTGAATGACAGGAGAGCGTCAGGTGTAGTGTGCCGTTCTCATACGAACTACAGTTCTGTGCAAGTGTGAGCCTTTTATTTCCAAATTAACACACTTGCGTGTCAAGCTTTCACATATTAAAAAATTAAATCCGTGGCGTAACAGCTCCAGAGAGCCAAAGCCGACTAACTTGACTGCTGGCCTCACGTTCACATGCCTAAGCAGAGGTGAACGATCATCCAACCAGATATAGGGTGACGTGTGGTCAGCACGACGAACCCCCAGCCATTGCTAGCTTTCATGACCGGATTACGCTACTCATTGTAGCTCCCCAATTTCCTCACGATGCTGGGTTGGCACCGGTCGAAAGCTCATGAGAAAATTTCTTCTCCCCCGAGATTCGAACCAGCGCACATTCTGTATCGCCACATCCTACAAGCATTACTGATTGTAAATAATTTCCATAGAACTTACGAATTTCATTGAAATAGAAGGGAAATTCTCCAGGAATAGAGCAGTTCAAACGAGCCTTGAGGTATGTAGCCCAGTTCTGACTGAGGATATTCTTGCCACCTGTGTCCTTCTTGCACACCCGTGCCACTCTAGAGTATACACTTTTTCCACAGTTGATGTACTCCACAGCCGTCTCTCGAAAGAAGAAGAATACGTACTGCCCGATGTCATAGGACCCAACAAAGTTTGGTTCTGCGAAAAAGAAACACAGAATAAAATAATAATTATTGTTACGAGTATTTAGCCATGGAACCTTCAGGTTCGTCACCAAAGACGCGCACGTCAGCGAGCTATTACCACCACCCCCCACCCCCAGGCCAGAAGGCGTGACAATTAAACAGAATGATTATAAAAAAAACAACTGTCTGTGCTCCGTGAAAATGTGCAGTGCCGTGGTGCCTGAATAAGACTCGAACCTGGTACCTCCCACTCCGAAGTCACACGATTTAGGGTCAAACTGATCAGCTAGATTTTATTTCTTTGACTTGAAGTTCCATAATAGTTACAGTAAACCACTAAAATGAGAAACTATCTAAGAATAACACTCCAATTGCCTCAATGAGCATAAAATTGTGCAACTCTTAAGAATTAATGCAAATTTTATAGATAGAGAACGGTAGCATACTTCGGTGGGTAAAGACGGGAGGTTAGGCTTTTCAGTATTTATAAATGGTGAAGACGGGAGCAAATTATAAAGGATCGTAGAGAAATGCATATTCATGATTTTGCTTCGCTACATAGTTTTATTGGGCAGGAAGACAAAGTCAACAATA